CCGATCAAGATCGAGCAATCCCAGTGATCGAGCGATCCCGGTGGTCGAGCGATCCGGCCGATCAAGATCGAGCAATCCCAGTGATCGAGCGATCCGCCCACTCAAGGCAAAATTAAAAGGAAGTTTTTTTTTCAACTGAAGTGAGGGAGGAATGGCGACATCCAAGTCCCTCTCTTCCACCTTTTCTATATTCTATTTATTCTCAGCATCATTTCTATTTCCCTCTCCTCCTACGTGCAAGTTCCTCCGATCTTTCCTTTCCTGCATCGACGGTTTTTTGGGGTTCACTTGTTTCGGAGTTGAGCCGAGCGTGTCACCCTGTCAAAATACTCAATAAACATCCTCAAACACTTCTTCTTCTTGGGTGTCGTTATTCCTTCCGAACAACAGATTCTGCGGCGAGAACAGCGATTTTTCACCCCACACCTAAAACTGGAAAATAGGGCCCAGAGGAGAAGACTTGTTCTCCTCTTCTTCCCCACTTTAGATAAAGCAGCTGCTCTCCAGTATTTTAGGGTCACGCCCCTGTTTTGGGGTCACACTCACCAACTTGCCAGTTTCCTCCCTAGTACGCACCCCCCACATAAGAAAGGGGTGCCCATCTCCAGCTCTGCAAATTCAGGGTGGTCTTGCCAGTGAGGCCTGGATCTGTTTAAGGCTCGATTAATGGAAAAACCAAAACACAAGTTAAAACAAATCAGTTCAAGAACGGCTCTGAATCACGGGCCAGAATGTACCAAGAGAAAGCAGACTCCTGAAGTACCGATCACTCAGGAGCCTCTCCAGTCTCTCACACACTCCTGAAACAAGCTCAATTTCAGACTCTCAGCTGGAATCGCACTGCAAAATACATCTGGCCTTGGCTGTATACTCACCTGTCGCCTTGGCTGTAGCTGTAGCTCTGACTGTAGCTGTAGCTGTAGCTGTACCTCTGACTGTAGCCTTGGCTGTAGCTGTAGCTGTAGCTCTGACTGTAGCCTTGGCTGTAGCTGTAGCTCTGCCTGTAGCCTTGGCTGTA